GCGGTTGTAAAACGCGGATATGTGTGGTGGTGGGATGGACGTACTACTGGTGCACGTTTGGAGAGGAATGGCTTTGAGGTGGGACGGGTACCCCCCCTTACGCACCCCCCTCCCCCCCCCCCCGCCCACCTTCTCCTCCTCAAACGCCACAACGGCAACGACTTGACGAGAGGCGCGGTGAGGCAAGGGCGAGGATGGCGCTGCTCCAAGCCCGACCTGAGCGGGTAGTCTTTGCTCCCACAAGTCACACTGCAGAGAAAGGGACAGACCGAGCCTCTTCTCCTGCTCCTGTCCTCACCAAGCGTGTCCTCCTTCGCTCCCTCGAGCGTACTGCTGCTCTCCGCGTCGAGCTCGCTCGTCCCGCACATCCCGCCTATGCTCTGCGAGGGCCGACATCCGTCCTCATTCCGCCCAAGGGCACCCTTCCCCTCACCATTGAGCTGTCGGTCGATGCTCTGCGAGGTCATGCCATCTCAGATGTCGTCTTTGTCCGCGCCACCCGCGTCAAAGATCTCGCTCTTGGCCGGGGCGAGGCCTCGGACGACGACGACGATGATCCGTATACTGTCGCTGCCGGCATGCCGCCGGACTCGCCCGGCGCCGTCCAAGAGATTGCTCTGGTGCTGGAGATGTCAGAGGCTGCCGAAAAGCTGGCCTCGGCGCTCTCGCCGCCGCGCCGCTCGGTCAAGTCGGCCATGATGCCGCGTGACGTCGCCCGCGCCATGGCCCGCTCCTCCCGGAGAGTCGCCGAGGCCCGTGAGCGCAAGCGCGCTGAGCTGCTTGCCTCCAAGTCAACGGGTGTGCTCGGCGGGAACGCCGGCTCGGCAAAGTCAAAGGCCAAGGCCGCCCGCGCCCGCTCCACAAAACGCTCGGCCTCGCTGCGTTACGGCCACAGCCGGCCCGGCGGCCCGCTCGACGACATCGACGGCGTCGTGGCCAACGCGCTCAAGGCCGTTGGCCTCGATGAGACTGCACTAGCCTCCTCGTCGCGGAGACGAGGCTCAGACTCGGGCTCGGGCTCGGGCTCCGCCCGCCGGCACGGCCGCCGGTCTGCTCCCGCCGGTCGCCTCGCTGTCGCGGACATGCCGTCGTTTGCCGCCAACCCGTACAACCCGGACCTCTTCTCGCACATCGACATGGACGAGTACCGCGCAAGCAAGGCCGCCGCCAAGGCCGAGGCGGCCACCCCGCTCAAGGAGCGCGAGCGCGGGTGGAACACCTCGGTCGTCCACCCCGAGTCGCGCTCCAAGACCGGCCTCGCCCCGGCGCTCCGACACAAGAACAAGCTCGACATGTCAATTTTGCAAAAGCGCAAGCTCTTCCGCAAGCAGCTCTTCGAGTCGTCGATGCGCCAGGCTGGCGTCCCCGACAGCGACTCGTCCGACAGCGCCGGTGCCGCAGGCTCGTCCGAGGCCTCACCCAGCGGCCCGCCCTCGGTCCGCTTCAGCAACACCACCAAGACGCCGCCCGCCGCCCGCTCGCCTGCTCGATACTCCTCGCGCTCACCGTCGCCGGCCCGCCGCGGCGGCAACATCCTTCCGCCGCTCCATGCCCGCCGCATGTCGGCCCCGCCATCGCCCATGCGCTCGCCAGAGGTCTCTCCCATCAAGCGCACCGGTGGCCGCTCCTCGCCCTCGCCGTTCCCGTCACACGCCCGCCGCTCCGCCCGCCGCTCCGCCCGCCGCAAGAGCCCCATCGAGTCCGAATGGCAGCGTACAGTCACCACCGAGCACCGGAACCACCTCGAGGAATCCGGCTACTTTGCCAAGCCCGTAGCCGCCCGCCCGCACCCGGCATCCATCCCGCAGCTCCTCCATCCCGACTCGCGTGGCCACCGTCACCGCTCCTCCATCATCGTCGGCGGCGACCGGCCGCTCGCCTCGCCGGCCTTCTTTGTTGACGGCTGCTACTACAACGCTCGCGGCGAGGACGTCTCCGCCATGGTCATGAAGCTGTTCCGCACCCCCGAGCTGTCGCCGTGAGCCGTCGCCAGCGAGCCATCGGCTGTAGGCCCTCATCCGATGCCGTAAATCCAACACGTTGTCATCCGGGAGTAACCCCGCCCAACCTACACCCAGCTGTCAGAGCGTCGGGTGATGTTTACTATGTGTCTTTCTCGAGGTTGGCCTTTTCCGACGTCGGCGTCGGAACCTGGGTTTTGTGCCGTGATCAACTTTTTGACGCCTCTCCCCCTTCGCCTCCCCCCCTAACCCCCCCTCCTTCACCACCACGCTCGACCACACACATGCCCGGCACAATGCGAGGGACAAGGACACACAATCTGTCGGCAACTGTAGAAAAGTCTACTATCTATGCACTGATAGGTTTGCTTGTGCATGTGGTGTGTGGGCTCGGCGCAAACAAAACTCGACACGACGCAACCACTCGCAGGCGGTCGACTCGTTCAATGCAGCGAGACAGTGTCCGAGGCCGACTCGGCTTCACCCTCGTACTGGGCAGCGGCGGCTGTGACGATAGGCTCGGGCTCAGTGTCGAGGGTGAGTTCCTCGAGCTCGTTGACAGCCTCGCGAAGGAGCGAGTTGGCAAAGTAGTCAAAGCCTTCGAGCCAGAGCGCGTTGTCGCGCTTGCGGATGCGCTCTGCATAGAGCAGGGTGTGGACGCGCTTGTCCGAGGCGGCGTTGAGGGCGTCGGCGAGGTTGTTGGCAAGGAACTCCCAGTCGGTCGAGCTCTGCTCGAGGTCGCCCATGATGAGCTTGCGCCCGCGCTGCCGCATGGCGGCGAGAAAGTTGCGGACTTCGCCCTTGGACTGGATGTGGAGGAGCGAAACGGAGCGGAGGACGTGGCTTGCGTGCGCGTTGAGGTACTGCACGTAGTCTTCCATGACGTAGTGCTTCTCAAACGTTTTGGTCACGTGGATGCCGCCCTTGTACACCGGATGGTGGTTCCACGAGTACGCGCGGAGCACGAGCTTGCCGTCGGCGCCAAAGTCGGCGAGGCCGCCGACCGCAAGATTGGCGTCGGTGTAGTTGGGTGCCGAGAAGACCGTGATGAGCCGTGGAAAGTTGTAGTACTTGGACTCGGCGGCGACGTCAAAGCCCGGCTTTTGCTGGTGCCCGCGCAGGATGCAGAGCACATCGTTGCGCGCTAGAAAGTAGTCGGCTGCCCGCGCTGTGAACAGGTACAGGCCCTTGCCGCGCGAGTTCTTCTTCCAGCTCGACTTTTTGGTCCAGTCCTTGGCCCGCGGCCCGCGCCGGAACAGCGAGCTCTTCTTCTTCACCGCAGCAAGGTCAAAGACCAACCGATCGGCCTCGACCAGGTACCGATTCCCGTGGATCTCCAGCAACGAACGCGGCAGCATCCACGCATCCGCCTCGACCGCCCCACTCCACTCGGGTGGCGGTCCAGAGGTGGCCGGAATCAGCGGCGATGGCGCAAACGCCGGCGCCGGCGACGACGACGATGAATCGTCGGGCCGCGTCTTGGAGTACCGCGGCGCAGGCCGCATAGACTTTGACGACGAGTCGGACCCTGACTCGCGCTCGCTCGACGCTGTTGCTGCGGCAGATGAAGAGGCTGACACCGACGCTGCGACTGATGAAGACGCTGATACCGGAGGCGACGACGTTGAGAGAGAGGAAGAGGGAGAGGGAGATGCCGGCCGAGATGAGGTTGGTGACGAGGATGACAAGGCCGGGCTTGAGCTACTTGAATCCGGGTCCGAGTCCGAGTCCGGGTCTGAGTCCGGGTCCGAGTCCGGGTCCGAGTCCGGGTCCGAGTCCGAGTCTAGGCCCGAGTCTGGGTCCGAGTCTGGGTCCGAGTCTGGGTCCGAGTTCGGGTCCGAGTCTGGGTCCGAGTCGGCGTCTGAAGGCGTTGATGCCGAAGCCTTTCCAGCTGCGGCCCTAGCCTTGCTCTTGCTCTTGCTCTTGCTCTTGACATCCGAATCCGCGGTACCCGATCCAGAGTCCGACTTGGACGAAGTAAGCGCCGCCTTTCCCTTCCTCTTCCTCTTGCCCTTGCCCTTGCTCTTGCCCGTGCGCGAGGCCTCCTCCTCCTGCTCCTCGTCAGCTTCCTCTTGCTGCTCACCGCGCGAGGCTCGCCGCCCCCGACGGGAGACCCGGCCTTTGGACGAGCTGCGGAGGCTAAACCGCCGCCTGGACTTGGACTTGGATTTGGATTTGGACTTGGACTTGGATCTGGCTTTGGCCTTGGCCTTGGCCTTGGCGCTGGCCTTGGCACTGGCCTTGGCGCGGCGCTTCTCCTCGCGGCGCTTGTGGCGGAGGGTGTGGACGTCGTCATCCGAGTTGGCGGCGAGGACCTCGTCGCGGGCCTCGGCTAGGAAAGCCGCGGCGGCGTCGTGGCGGGCAGTCGAGTCGGCGTCGAGCGTGCGGGCCATGCGGGACTGCGCCTTGCGGAGCGCGCGGGCCTGCCAGCTCGACATGGCCATGTCCTGGTACGGATCGTTCCACATGACGCCCCGCATCTCGCCCTTGCCGCGGATCTCCTTTTTCTTGGTCCGCGAGACGGCGCGCATCGTCTCGAGGCCCGGATGCTCGCGATCAATACCGCCATGAGCGCAGAACATCTTCTTCGAGCCGCCGTTGCCGTCGGGGACAGAGAGGACGGCGGCAGCAGGGAGGCGGGCAAGGACGCCCATGAGCGCGTTGAAGACCTCAATCGAGTATTTGGCCTCGACCTCGACCTTGGTCCCGCCGGAAATCGGCTTGGCCGCCATAGCCTCGGACTCGTGGTTGCCGCGGAGGAGGTGGACCGAGTCCGGGTAGCGGACAAAGGCGGCGAGGAGGAAGAGCGCGGTCTCTGCCGAAAAGTAGCCGCGGTCGACGTAGTCGCCGAGGAAGAGGTACTGACTCTCGCCGAGCGGACCGCCCGTCCCGAGAATGTTGGGCATGTCGTAGAACTGGCCGTGAATATCGCCAATGACCACACACGGGCCGTCCACCTCGAGCAGCGATGGGAGCTTGCGGACCCGGCGCTTGGCGGCGGCAATGATGGCCAGCGCGAGCTGGGTTGTCAGCCGGCCTTCAAACAAAAACTGCTCGTAGACCATGTCGAGGTCGAGAAAGTTCGCGACTCGTTTGCCCGACGGCGCGAGCGGCCATGCGTCCTTCAGCTTGAGCTTCTTGGTCCGCGGATGGTAGAGGACCCAGAGAACGGCCTCGGGTTCGATGCCAAACTCGGCGAGTGTGTTGCCGGTGCTCAGCATCTGCGTCGAATCGGGGTCCAGCAGCTGGAAGCCCTCGTAGTAGACGCGCAGGAGCGCCAACGGCTGGCTGGTCACCTTGGAGATCTTGGAGAGGAGCGTGCCGATGGTCGTCGAGGCGCGGACGACGACGCGAAAGGCACGCCGGACGTAGAACTCGCGGATGTGGAGAACAAACGAGGCGTCCGAGTCCGACGCCACCCACGAGTACGAGAGGTTGTCAACCGACTCGGTGGTTGTGCAGCCTTCAGAGTCGCCAGCCGACCGCAGGCCGATGCGTGCCGCCACCGGGACGTCGGCAGCTTCGTCCGAGTCGAGCTCGCGGAGCGAGGATTCAAAGTCGGACTCGTCGAGCGGCGGCAGCTCAACAACGTGCCCGTCGTACCCGAGGTGGCGGGCAAATTGTTCGAGTGTGAGCTGCCCGCGCTTGCCGCGCCGGTGCTTGCGGAGCAGCTCTTTGCGGCGGCCCTCGTCCTCGTCGGCAACAACCATGCGGATGTACGCCGGCGAGACGCCGGCCTCCACCAGCTGCACCTCGTCGGCCATGCCGATGTCCCACCCGTCCGACTCGGCCCAGTCACGCCGGCCGAGCTCGTCCATCACCTCACCGAGCGCATCCTCGGAAATGACGCCGTCCGAGTCGCTGTCGAGTTCGTTGAAAAGCTCGTGAATGAGCCGGTACTTTCCGTCCTGCGCCCGCTTCAGCACCGCGCAAAACTCAAAGAACGACAGCACACCATCGGCGTCGACGTCGGCTGCCTTCAACATTCGCTCGACGTCAGCCATCCCATCCGTCGACGACTGCAGCAGCAGCGCAATCGGCGCCAGCTCTAGCACCGAGATCCGGCCCGTCGAGTCCGTATCCACCAGCTCGAACGCCCTGCGAAAGTTTTCAAACTGCGCCTGTGTCAGGTTGAGCTGTAGTCCCAGCCGCAAGCCAGTTGACCGCCCGCCCGTCCGCCCGCCCGCCCGTCCGCCCGCCCGCCAATCATTGCCAGTTAGTCAGCCAGCCATCATCCCCACGGCACCCTCTCCCCTTGCGCCCCTCTACCCTTGCGCCCCACGCCTCCTCGCCCCAGCGCCCCACGCCCCGACCCACCCGCCCGTCGTGGTCATCGCTCCCCCGCCACCCCAACCTACCGTATCCACAATAGCATCATCAGAGAGCGAGTACGGCTCGTCGTCGTCATAGTCAGAGTACTCCCCGCTGTAGCGGGAGGAGCGCGAGGAGAGCGAGGCTGAGCCAAGCGAGTCGACCGAGCCTGGCGCCGTCCCTAGCGCTGTGAGCGAGCCTCGGGTGGAGCCCCTCCTCGAGCTCCTCCTTCCAGACCTTCTGGAACTACGCCGACCACTACCTCGTGACTTGTTGCCAAACGGCCATAGCCGCATACCCGTCAAGCACTCTCTGCAGTCGGGTGTGTGCCCTTCCGCTCTCCCGCTCCTCTCTGCCGTTGCTGACCATCTCGGCTCACTCGCTGCCAACGCCAGCGACAGGCAAGCGACTCTCCCGCTCGCCGGTGGGATCCAGCACGCCACATATCAGCACGACACACTCACAATTGCACTCTCTATGCGAGTACCTGTTGAGCCCCCTCCCCCCCCCCCCCCCCTCCCCTACACCATACATCAGCACCTGATGCACTTCTCATCCGCACCGCGCACATCATTACCACATATCATCACCACACATCATCACCACACATCATCACCACACATCATCACCACACATCACCACCACATATCACCACCACACATCATCACCACATATCATCACCACATATCACCACCACACATCATCACCACACATCATCACCACATATCACCACCACACATCATCACCACACATCATCACCACATATCATCTCCACACATCAACTCTTGATCCGCTCCGCTCATGTCGTCTCACTCGATCGCCCTCAATCAAACTCATCATCACCACCACCCAACCAGACTGGTGTCACGCGCGCACGCTTCAGTGCCTGCCTGCTCCACCGCCACACCTTCCGCAACAGGCACGCACTGACAGCGATACACAGACACACACACACACACACCTCTCTGCGTTTAGAGGTGAGGACAGCCCCCCTCCCTCTCGCCTCCCCTTCCCCGCCACTCCCTCTCATTCCGTATGACTATGCTCGCTCGGTGCCGTGGCGGTGTGGTGGCTATGGCTGTGGCTGTGGCAATGGTGGCGATACTCTCGTGCGGGGCGGTGGTGGTGGCAAGTGAAGCGGTCGGCCGGTCGCAGCCGCAGGCTCTGCATCTGGCACTGGGCAACTCAGCGGATGCGTATGTAGTCTCGTGGCTCACGCTCGATGAGACTCGTACGAGTACGGTCAAGTATGGAACGGCACCTGGGGCGTTGGACAAGATTGCGACCGGATCGGCGAGGATCTACGACCATGTTGGCGGCGGATTCAACCACTTTGTCACGCTTGACGCGCTTCCTGCCAACGCCAAGATCTACTACTTGGTGGGTGATGCAGAAGGTGGCTTCTCGGACGTGTTCTTCTTTGAGACTCGGCGGGCCGAGGCTGGTAAGGCACCGATGACCTTCGCCATCTACGGTGATCTCGGGCTTGACAAGGGCGAGCCGTCGATTGCCGCCATCAACAGCCACGGGGCGCAGGGCGAGTACGACTTTGTGCTCCACCTCGGCGACATTTCGTATGCCAACGATGCCATCATCTCGCACAACTCGACCCACGACTACGAGGAAATCTGGCGCGACTGGTTTGCTGCGCTCGCGCCGACGATGACCCGCACGCCGTACATGGTCATGCCGGGCAACCACGAGTCGTGGTCGCGGTCGCCGCTCTCGGGCATCCAGACCTTCAACTTTACCGTCTACAAGTACAAGTTTCAGATGCCCGGCGCCGCCGCCGGCTCGGACACCTCGATGTTCTACTCGTTCGACTATGGCCTCGTCCACTTTATTGCGCTCTCGACCGAGACCGACTACGACGGCCACCCCATCGATTTTTACGTCAAGCAGTACAAGCAGGTCAACTGGCTCCGTGCCGACCTGGCCAAGGCCGCCGCCAACCGCGCCAACGTGCCGTGGATCATCGTCATGGGCCACCGCCCTGTCTACTGCACCGGCTCGCCCTACTCCAAGGACTCGGTTCCGACCGAAAACTCGGCCACCCTTCAGGCCTGGCTCGAGCCGCTCTTCAAGGAGTACCGCGTCGACGCCTACGTCTCTGGTCACGCCCATCGCTACGAGCGCCAGTTCCCGACCTACCGCAACCAGCCGACGTCGCGCTCGTACACCGCGCCCGGCGGCACCGTCTATCTTGTTTCGGGCGGCGCAGGCAATGTCGAGGGCCACTCATCCGGCGGCGCCGACGCCGTCTGGACCGCCTACAAGAACATCACAGACTTTGGCTACTCGACCATGACTGTCGTCAACGCCACCCATCTCGAGTGGCAATGGCGGGTTTCGGCCACCGATGAGCTCGCTGACGCCATCACCATTGTCTCGGATCACGACTGGTGATGCGCTGTCGTGCCTGGCCGCGTAAACACCTTCTTCTTTACGCTTCGCTAGTGCTCCTGGTTGTAGATGTGCGAAATGGCCGACGCCACGATGCCCTCCGCCGCCTCGACCGCAGACCCAAACGGCGCCTCCTGGATGTGCAGCTCGCCCGAGCCGTCCGAGTTGAGGAATCGCCATGCCCTCGTCGTTACGTCTGGATGAGCACCCACGCACATGGACGCCAGCGCATCGTCGCCAGCCTGCATCAGCGCCCAGCCCTCACCGCACATCATCCGCCAAATCTCGATCCGGTCGCCGTTCTCAGCCCGCCACCTTTCGACAGTCACCGCTTCCATCTCCTCATCGCACACAAAGGCTCGCGCAGGCACCGAAGCCCCGGACCCGGACCAGCTTCCTGCTCTCACCCGAGCAAGCATCCGCTCAAACAGCCGACCGACTTCCATGTGAAACAGCGGCGGGAGCTGCAGGATATCGCTGTCGACGTAGTCATCACGGCCCCGGTCCATCGGGACCACTACCGCCATTGTCTCGTCGAGCGATCCAGCATTGACCCAGTCGATCACCATCGCCCGACTCGCCGCCTGCCCGACCGAAGCAACTGCCTGCGAGTTGCCTGCGGCAGTAACCGAAGTTTCGATCGGCACGCATGCCGCCGGCAGTGGCTCACCTTCGACTGCCTCGCGGCAGTAGGTACCTGCAAGGACAAAGAGCCACGAGTTGGCTGGGAGCATGCGGTTCCACGACGTGGTCTGCCGCAGCACGACCTTGTCCGCCCCCAGCATGCCCGGCATTAGATACGCCTCGGCACCAGCTTGTTCCACCGCGGCACGACCTTCCACCACACTCGCCACGCCGTCGTAGATCAGCACGCCCGTGTTGGGCCCCAGCGACTCGCGGCGGGTAACCTCAGCAAAGACACCGGAGCCATCGCTATCCACGTCCACGCCTGCCATCACTTCCTTTGCCCGTTTCCCCCCGGTCTCTACCTTGATCAGCAACCCGCGCACCTGAGCAGCCATGTTGGGTCGATTGGAAATGCCAAGTGAAATGGAGCAGGACACAGCAGGGCCAGTGACAGCCATGGTGGCATGGTAGTGCCGATGTTGATGGCAGTGGTCATGGTGATGGTGGTGACAATGGCTCGGACGACAACGATCGACCCACAACCATGTTGGCGATGATGACTCTGACTCTGACGACAACGATGACTCGGACTCTGACAATAGCCGACCATCCATCCCCATCCCCATCCCACCCCCATTCCCATCCCCATCCTGATCCCGATCCCCATCTCCACCATCATTACCATCCGTCCACCTCCGCCGCATTCATTCCCTCTATGAACGAATCGTTCCCTCCTCCCCCTTACCCCCTCCCCCCCCCCACCCACTTCACCCCCTCCCTCCCCCCTCCTCCTCCTCCTCCTATTCCCTTCTACCCCGGGAGGGATGAAGTCGTTCATTATCACCGACGACGTGGGCACGCCGCTGTACCTCGACCACGAGCTGGACGACGAGGCCAGGATGGTGTGCATGCAGGTGGCAGCGACGCAGGACCTCATGTCGACCAACTTTAATCAGTGTTTCAATGGCTTTCGATGTGGTGGTGGTCTCGAGTGTGTGCTCATGAGAAAGTCGGGCATTCATTTGATGGTTCTCTCCGATGAAGGCGAGAGTCACAACGCGCTCGTTCGTCAGCTCGCCCTCATTCATGCCATGATGGTCTTTGTCTTTGGCTCGCGCATGCTCCGCAAGCTCAAATCGCCCATGCAGAGGGAAAAGGCAAAGGCAGAGGCGACTCTTCGGAGATGCATCGATGCTCTCATCCACTTTTGCGCCACAGAGCAGTCGTTTCTGGTCTCCTCGCTCGAGCGCCTCGAGGTCAACGACGATCTCCGTGCCCGCTGCTGCTCCGCCCTCGCCGACGCCGTCGATGCCTCGCCGGGAACCTTCCACGCTCTCCTTTTTGTCGGCTCCAAGCTTGTGGCCCAGTACTCACGCGAGCGGGTTTTTGAGCTCCTTCCGGCCGACATCTCGCTCATCACCATCTACTTTCACTCGCTCTTCTTCCCCAAGTCACGGACGGGGCAGGGCGCACTCCGCACCGCATCGCCGCCGCCAGGCGCTGTCAAGCCATCTGGCGCGCCACCGTCGCCGGGCTATCGCGACGACGTCTCGGTCTCGTCGACCCAGGCCCGCGCCTCGGCCTCGGCCGCCCGCGCCGCCGCCGCCGCCCACGGCTCGCCGACCTCGCCGCAGGTTCCGGCCACGCCCGCGCCCCGCGCTCCACCCTCGCCCGACGCCTCGCCCATCGCCCCCGCCGACGACACCCAGCTGGCCGACGATGACGACGACGACCTCTCCACCGCAGGCTCTGTCGCCGCGGACGAGAGCCTCTCGCGCAAGGCGTCCGGCCGCGGCCCAGGCTCGGCGGGCGTGCCCATTCCGAGCCCGTCCCATGGGCATGTCGACGCTGACGACGTCGCTCGCTCGACCGCCAACGAAATGTTCTTTACCCCGCATGACTCGGTTGCGGCCTCGCTCGCCCGGTCAAACATTGTCCTCCGCATGCCAAGCGCCCGCTCCCGGCTCATCCACTTCCAGCTCGCCGGCCGTCTCGCGTCCGTCGTCGCCACTCAAGCCGACCATCTCGGCCTCTTCGGTCACCACCGCTGACGAGGCATACGCTACACCCACCGCCGAATCTCTCACCACCGCCGCCCGCCTCGACGCCTCTATCGAGGTCGAGTCGGCGCTCTACCGCTCCGCTTATGACACCATGATCAGCGCGGCCGGCGGCGAGAGAAGCGGCGGAGTGCGCCCCACTCAAGCGGCCGGTACTGCTTCAGCGGGAGGAGCTAACGGCGACGACGACGACGACGATGATGATGACGACGACGAGGTCTTTGTTGACGCCAAGGGCAAGCTCACCCCGCGCGACGCCCGCTCACGCAATACGTCATTTGACGAGCTCCCGCCGCTCGACGACGCCCCGCCTGACTCGCTGCTGGAGACAGTCTTTCTCCATGTCAACGGCTCGCTCGTCCCAGGTAGGCTCTACTGCGCGCTCCTCGCACCCAACACCTCGCTTGTACTTGTCTCGGAGCGCGTGGCGGCGTCCGAGGCCGAGGCCGAGCAGGCACACGCCGCGTACGTCCGGCAACTTGTCCAGCGGCAGCTGGAGACCTTTGTCGACTTTTTGGTCATCAAGGCCCAGGCCCACATCACCATGCTCTCGTACTTGTACTACTTTCCGGGCATGGTCCACTTTATGTTTGTCGACCGGACCCACGAGCAAGTGACGGCGCCGACGATTATCCCGCTCCACGGCCGGCTCGCCGAGCCGGACTCGAGCACTGGGCCTGAGCCGTCGGGCTCAGTCGCGTTCATCAAAGCCCGGGTGTGGGACCTTGCCCGCCACGCCCACGAGGCGCTCGCCGCCGGCTTCACCTCACTCGCCCTCTACAAGGACGGGCTCTGCTACTCGTACCACCTGGTGGCTGAGAACGGCGACGGCGAGTCGCTGCCGATCAGCCTCCCAGCCACCCCACAGGGCAACGCGCTCGAGCTCAACGCGCTCAAGTCGGTCATTGCGGCGCAGCACCCGGACGTCCGCCACCTTCGCGTCTACGAGCTGTACGCGCTCTACGTCGGTACCCTCCCGCTCGAGTCGATCGGCCAGTGTAACGCCCGGCTTCTCTCGATGATCCGCGAGGACCGCTCGCTGCGAGTCCTCCGGACGCTCGAGCACTACAACGTCTCGTGGTATTGAGCCACCGGGTAGCGTGACTAAAGCTTGGCGTCGTCGCGCGCAAAGACAGCCCACACCCGCTGCAGCATGGCGTCGAGGCTAGAGGCGAAGGCTGCCGCCGACGGCGCGTCGCTGCCGCGGGCTGATCCTTGTGAGGTGATGTTGAAGACAAGGCCGCTGCGCCGGACTCCGTAGCACACGCCAAAGCCACGGTCGACGACAGGGCCAAACGCTGCCGACGCCACCGGATCGGTCACCTGCGAGGTCGAGAGCGCCCAGGTCGATGCCGCGGCCGTGGCATCGCAGACGAGAGCGTGTGGGAGCGAGAGCTCGAGCGCTGCACCTGCGCGCTGGAGTCCGAGAAGGAGCCGGTCGACACCTGCGCCCGACGCCGCGGCGCGCGCCAGGGCCGAGTGCTGCTCCGCTGCCGTCCGCGCCTTGGCCTCGAGCTCGTCGGGCGTTGCATCGCCGCGGACGAGGCTTTCGACAAAGGCAACCATCTGAGGGCTTGCTGCCCGCAGGGTCTCGGTGCGGCCTGCGGCGAACCGGCGGGTGGTCACCGACTCGTAGGTCGGTGCAGCTGTGCCGTGAAGCGCATAGTATGCGGCCTGGATGGCCGCCTGGCAAAAGGCATCAGGCGAGATGCGGGCGACGGCCTTGATATGGTCCTTCCCAAACTCGTCAAAGCGCAGGACGGCGACGTCGAGCGAGGCCGCGAGGTAGGTGTCGAGCCAGGCGCGGGCCGAGGCAGTGCGGGCCGCGAGCGACTCGGCAGCTGCACCGACGAGGTCGAGACGCGCAAAGGGAGGCGCGACAGCCTGCGGGTCTGCGGCGCTGGCTTCGGACTCGAGCGCGCGCGCCACGGCGGCGCGGGTGACGAGGAGCATCGGCATGCCGTCGACGCCCGAGTGCTCGCCGTTGAGTGCAAGCGCCCCGTTGGCGTAGACCAGCCACGAGAGGGTCTTATCGAGCCATCCGTCGGTGGTGGTGAGGGCCGAGGCGACAAGCTCGGCATGCGCGCCGGCGGCCGGCGCATCGGCTTCCAGGACAAGCTCAAAGAGGGCGTCTTGGAGCACGCGGTAGCCGTCAGCGTCAACGATAGTCGAAGCCTCAAGCCACTCATCGCGCGGAAGGGCGCAGAGGACGCCGAGGCCAGCGGTATCGGTGCGTGCCGCCGCATCGTCGACCACCGCTACCAGAGTGGAGGCGAGCGAGGCCACGTCGCCGCCATCGCGGCCGAGCTCGACCACGTATGGGTGACCATGCGCCCAGACAACGACGTGATAGAGCGCAGTCGACGCGGCGTGGAGCACGTCGGAGCCGGGCGCCGGCAGCCGACACGAGTTGAACAGCCGCGGGTAGGCGGCAGTGCAGTTTGATCCGTTCTCACCAGGGATGACCTTGTCCTCGTGCCAGCCGCGGGCCAGATCGCGAGTGGCAAGCATCAGCGCTGCTGCTCGGCGGTATGGGCCGTCTGTCAGCGGAACGTCAAACACAAAGGCGTAGTTGGAGTTGACCACCAGCGGCGCGCGGAAGGCCAAGTACGCCGCATCAAGCCACCACGCCGAGAGCCATGACTCGCACGAGGAGCAGGGATCGACTGCGACATGACCAGCATCGGCATCGGCATCGGAAGTTGCGGCATCGGCAGTTGCGGCAGAGGCAGCGGCAGAAGTGGCAGCAGTAGACTCGGCCCGGGCGTAGAGGAAGCGGAAGAGGGGCTCGAGCGCATCGGCCGTCTTGGGGCTTGCCAGCTCTGCAACCAGCGACTCGAGCGCAGATGGGGCGGTGAAGGGGGCGAGCGACGGCGGAAGGGCAGCGCGTAGTGTCTCCAAAGAGGGTACCGGGAGCGGGGGGAGGGCCATGGGGTGGGCTGTGGCCATGGAGTGGAGTGTGGCCTTGGCCCGGGCCCCCGCCGGCCACCGTCGCCGTAGGCGTCGCGGGCCTGGCTGGCCTGGCTGTCGGCGAAGCACACTCGCCCCCAATCGTCCTCGCCTGTTATCCTGATCGCCATCTCGACCACCCTCTTCAGTTTGACCGCCCGTATCCCTCGCCCTTGCCCCTCGCCACTGATCGCCCTTGCCCCTCACCTCCAATCGCCCTTGCCCCTCGCCACTGATTGCCCTTGCCCCTCACCTCCAATCGCCCTTGCCCCTCGCCACTGATCGCCCTTGCCCCTCACCTCCAATCGCCCTTGCCCCTCGCCACTGATTGCCCTTGCCCCTCACCTCCAATCGCCCTTGCCCCTCGCCACTCCCCGCCCTTGCCCCTCACCACTCATCGCCACCCCGATCGCCACTGGCCGATCTCTTGCCCAAAGCCCGCTCGCCCTCACCTCCAATCGCCCTTGCCCCTCACCACTCATCGCCCTTGCCCCTCACCTCCAATCGCCCTTGCCCCTCGCCACTGATCGCCCTTGCCCCTCACCACTCATCGCCCTTGCCCCTCGCCACTGATTGCCCTTGCCCCTCACCTCCAATCGCCACCCCGATCGCCACTGGCCGATCTCTTGCCCAAAGCCCGCTCGCCCTCACCTCCAATCGCCCTTGCCCCTCGCCACTCCCCGCCCTTGCCCCTCACCACTCATCGCCACCCCGATCGCCAGAGGCCGATCTCTTGCCCAAAGCCCGCTCGCCCTCACCCTCGTCCCCAATCGCTCTCTCCTCGGTCACCACTCCCCTTGTCCGTGCTGCCCCAACCCTGAACTGGCGCCACCCTCCCCCCTCCCCCCCTCTCCACTGCCCAACCACTCCACCCACTGGCAAAGGGTCGAGCGGAGCATGTCCCGGGCAAGGGCAAGGCCAGCAGACGCAGCATGGTGGAGGCAACGTGCCGAGGCGGCCGAGGCGGCTGTGGCCGAGGCTGAGCGCAGGGCGAGCGAGGCGGAGGCTCGGGTTGGCCATCTCAACGAACTGGTGGCTCATCTACGACTGGCGCTGAGACGGGAGCGGGCGGCAGCGCAGGTGGTTCGGGCAGAGATGGAGGATCTTCCGCATGAGGACGATTCAGATGTTGAAGCAAGGCTGGGCACTGTCTTTTACGAGAACTTTCGCCTGCCCATCTCGTCCATCATCGACAGGCTGGAGAAGGAGACCGAGCTTCGCATCAAGATCCAAGGCAGGCTGGCTCGCCTCCAGGCCTATGTCGAGGCAGCAGGTGGGGATCTTGCTAGCAACGCGGCACCGCTCCTTGCAGGGCCGGACCGGAGTGGCCGGGGTGGTCCCGCTGCGGTCACCCAGGGCCGCAACCGCTCCATTGAGATCGCCGACACGCCGCCGGCCTCGGTCGCCGACTCGTCGTCGGACTCGTCCGAGTCATCAAGCTCGGGCGTGCTCCTCCTACCGTCGCCGCCGCAGGCTGCTGTGGCATCGTACATTCCGCGGCTGACACCGGTGGCGTCACCGGCGCCGCGCGCGCCGGCCATGGCACCGGCGCCGGCGCTCTCGCCTCTGTCGCCGTCGTCGCCGCTCTCTCCGACCCCGCGCTCGCGACCGCCGCCGTCCCCACTCCTCTCACCGGTTCTCCGCGCGGCGTCGCCAAGCCCACCGCTACCGACGTCGCCGCCACCGCCGCGGCCCGGGCCATCGCCAGCCGACATTGAGTCGATGGTGGAGGACCGTCTCAAGACCCGTCTTGCAGCCGCCACAGATCGGATCCGTGCGCGGCTCAAGGCCCAGCTCACCGCCACCGTCCAGGCCAGGGTCGAGGCCGAGCTTGCAGCCTGGGCCGACACTTCCCCCGGCGCAGACGAACGATCTCGCGCTCGGTCCAGACTCCCGGAAGTGGCCTTGCCGACGCGAGCAGAGCCACCGCCGACGCCGCTGCCGAACGTGCGCTGCGGACCAAGCTTGAGATCCGCAACGCCCGGCTCCACGCCCGGATCGTCGACCTCATGGCCATTTTGCACTTGAGCGATGTGCCGCGGCCAGGGCCCGGCGCGCCGGCATCACCGTCGTCGCCGCCGCCGCGGTGGTGAGCGAGGGTGTTACTCTGTGACACAACGCTTGCTTAGGGCCGCGTCGAGCCGCGCCACGCTCAACTGCCACTTTCGCCACGAGACCTGCGACGAGAGCGCGAGCGAGGCCCGCTCTTGACGACGAGCCTCGTAGTAGACAGGGAAAAAGTCGATGAGCCGCCTCAGCTTGTCCACTCCGGCCGCGTCGAGGCTCGCCAGCGTCGCCGCCAGCTCGCCGTCGCTTAGGTCACACGAGGCGAGGACAAGCGTGTTGAGGCAGCAGAGGTTGTCCGACGACATGGCATGGATGTCGAGCGCGTCGAGGACCGCACTAAGAAGCGTTGGCTGGAGAGGCGCGACCCATGCCGCCGCCCGTCCGTCGGTCTTTGACAGCGCAAGAATGTGCCGAACAAAGACGTTCGACGCGACGAGGTCGGTCGCCACCACATCGCGCATGAACTCGCTTGCACTTGTACGGGCGCGCTTCAGTGCGTCCTCGACCCGTGCCAGCCCGTCGGCGTTGCCATGGACAATAGAGCCGAGAAGATCAAAGGCCGAGAGGGAGATCGAGGGAACTCGGGTGAGTTGCACCAGCCGCGCAATGAGCGCTTCCGACGCAAGCGCGTTGACCACCTCGGGCTTGTGGGTGTACCGGAACATGACCTCGAGCGCGGCGCAAGCCGGCATGACCACGTGTGCGTCGTCGTCGGCGCTAACAATGAGCTCTGCAAGTGTGTGCGGGAGCGGCATGCTGAGGAGCAAGAGCCGCACTTGCGGACGGGTAACCACGCCGGCGGCGTTGTACAGCGCTCGCAGCGTCTGCGACATGATCGAACAGGGCGCGTGCGACGCGTGGTTGGCATCAGTCGACCGCAGGAACTGGTGGCGTCCGTCGGGGTCATTGCGCAGGCTCTCGACAAGCTCGGCAAGGACGCTCAGGCCGCCACACTCCATCAGCCGCTCGACAAGCGGCGCCTGCCGCGACGACGCCAGAGCGCAGGTGAGCGTGTACAGGATCTCCGACCGCGAGCCCGAGATCGCGAGCACAATGAGCTCGAGCATCGAAATGACCGGCGGGAAGCGAAGGACTGCACCAAGCATGTTTTGGACCTCTGCAAACGTGGTGGTCTGTAGTGAGCTCGTGCCGGCGACGACTGCTGCCGGCACTCTCTCCAGCACCTGCTGCAGACCGCCAAACGTTGACCGGTCTGCCACCCGCGCCATGAGCTGATAGACCATCGGCGTGGGGTTGATCGACGCCAGCAACGTCGAGTGGGTGTGAAAGTCAACCGGGATCTTGAGGAGAGCGACGAAGCGCTCCACCAGATTTGGGACGCCGAGCACAAATGCGACATTGTGCGCGAGCGTGGTCGCCGTCGCCGCATACGCCAGGCTGCTCTGCCGCATCGACGCGGTGCTCAGCCGGGCGGAGAGCGCATCCTCCGGCTCGACGCCAAAACGGATCGACGGCTTCTCGAGGAGAAAGGCGAGGATGCGCGAGAAGACGGCCAGCCGCCGCGGCGTGAACCCAGCCACAATGCCGGCCAGACCCGGGACCATCGTGAGGTCGAACAGTGAGCGCCGCATCGAGAGCACATCCTCCAGCAGCGCCACAACCGTCTCGAACAGGACCGGCTCGCCGAGGTTGACAAAGAGCGCCGACACAAACTCGTCGTTCTCTGCCATACCCACCAGGATGCCACCGCGGCGGTAGCCAAGCTCCTTGAGGATCGAGGCCGCGGCCAGGACGATGCTCACGTGGCTGGCGTAGGTCTCGAGAATGGTGGTAGTCGTGAGCGGCGACGGCGGCGACGGCGCCGGCGACGGCGGCGACGACGGCGCGGGCTCGCGAGCGGCGCTCGCCATCAGAATCTCAGTAATGAGCCGAAGCGAGAACGAGGCCGGCATTGGCGATGGCAGCGGGCCCGGTTCCTTCAGCTCGGCGCCGTTGAACGCGGCTATGATGGCCGGCCAGTCGGCAAGCGGAATTGGGAGGTATGCCAGCCGCGAGATGAGAGCGACTAGGAGCGGAACAATGCGGGTGGTGACCACGGCCTCGGCGACTTGGTCGTGCTCGCAGTCGGGGCTGCTGGCATGCGGTGAGCTGTTCTCGTTGAGCAGGATGCGGAACTTGTCGAGCGGCACAGCCACAGTGGCCAGCGCCTGCTGAAAGGTGCCGAGCGCAGCGGCAGGTCCCGCAGACCACACCCTACGCCACTCTTCCAACGACTCCAGCTTTGCCCGGGGCTCGGCTGTCTCGTCCAACGACGATGCTCTCCCATCCACGCCATCAACCACCACCAGCGCATCGAGCTCGTCCACCAGCCTGCTGATGACATGCAGCGCGGTCTCGACACCCACCAGCACTGGCTCTGATGCCTCTACCGCCGCCAGGGCCACACCATGCACTAGTGATCTCGGCGTGGCTCCTAGCCCCCTCCCACGCGCCACCGCCATCTTTCGCGCCTTTGCCGAGCTTGTTGCCGCCGTCGGGCGATCGAGACCATCAAAGTCGGTCCCATCACCAGCAGCACCAGTCTCGGGCGCCTCGGGTGTGCCAGACGCCTCGAGTGTCTCGGAAGCCTCGGAGGTTGCGGGCGTCTCGTGCGCCTCGTGCGCCTCGGGCGCATCGTTGTCGTCGTTGACAAAGTACGAGCCGGACGCAGCTCTGCTCCCGAACCGTCTGAAGAACCTCACGAGCACCTCCATACGACGCAACAGCATTTCACTTTCCACATCGTTGTGTGCAAAGTCTCTTTCTCTTGCGCTTGCCGCCATGTCTTCTTCCATACTCTGCCTCCCTAGCGGCCCTCCCCACCGCGACATGGTTGCGAGTCAAATGTGAGTGTGAGGACGGCTAGTTGGCCGCCATTCGCTGAGCATATCGATTATTTGTTGTATGGAGTAATCGTTGGACGGGCGGGCGGGGGAGAGGATGTCATCGATTATTTGTTGTGTGAACTAATTGTTGGACGGGCGGGCGGGGGAGAGGATGTCATCGATTATTTGTTGTGTGAACTAATTGTTGGACGGGCGGGCGGGGGAGAGGATGTCATCGATTATGTGTTGTGTGAACTAATCGTTCAAGTCCGCTCACATCACTCACACAACATGGCAGCCGCAGCAACGCGCACAGGAGTACGCGACGTGCTGAGCTTGTACGCAGCAAGTGCAACATGTCGGACGGCGGCGTGGGAGGCGCTCAAGGGCGCCGCGGCCAAGTCGGCGGCCGTGGTGGCAATCGACGAGTCGGCGGACGGAGAGGCTCAGGCAGAGAGCGGCGATGACGCCGTGGTAGAGCTGCGGCTGGGCGATGAGGCTGATGGTGGCGTGGCGGGAGTGGAAGAAGACGGGACAAGCGAGGGTGCGGTGGACGATGGCCCGTTTGAGCCGCACATGTACCTGGCGGCGCTCGAGACCAAGCACATCGGGCGAGCGATGCTGTACGCCGGCGAGGTGACGTCGACGCAGACGCTGCTGCACAAGCATCTGGGCCGGGTCCGGGTGCCTGGCGCGGGGCTCATTGCCACCGCCGACGTGCAGAACGCCGGCCGTGGGCGGCGGACAAACACCTGGGACTCTCCGGTCGGATGTCTAATGTTCTCGGTCCAGCTCGAGGCCAAGCGCGGCGAGGTACTTGTCTTTCTGCAGTACCTGCTCTCCCTCGCCGTCCTCCGCGGCGTCAAGTTGGCTGCGCCTCAAGTCGAGGGCCTGCGGCTCAAGTGGCCGAACGATATCTACGCCATCCCGCCCGGCGCCGACGAGCCGGTCAAGGTCGGCGGTGTCATCTGTGAGTCGGTCTACTCTGACGGCAAGTTCAACATCACCGCAGGCATCGGCGTCAACGTCAACAACGCACAGCCGACGGTCTCACTCGCTCAGCTGGCGCCGGCCCCGACCCGCATCCGCCGCGAGGCCGTTCTGGCCGCCACGCTCAACGAGCTCGAGGCCGCGCTGGCCGTCTTTGAATCGGAAGGCTTTGCTCCGTTCGAGGCCGAGTACCTTGACGCCTGGCTCCACACCGGCCAGCAGGTCCGGGTCGACTCGCTCATTGCGCCGGTGACCGTCGTTGGCCTCACCGACTCGGGCTACCTCAAGGCCGAGGACCCAGCAACCGGGACCGCCTACGAGCTGCAGCCCGACGGCAACCGCTTCGACTTTTTCCAGGGCCTCATCTCCTCTGCACTGTAAACGTCGTGTGGGTTAATCTGTGCGTTTGTGTGCTGAAGGTTCTAGCAGCTGCGGGCAGGCCGCGGCGAGAGCTCGGACGTAGCGTCGACTACAAGCATGGCAGCGGGTGCGGCGAGATCCGCAAACGGCGTCGTTGGCTCGACGCCGCCGAGCGGAGACGAGACCGGCGCTGCCGCCGCAGCTGCGGCGGTTGCCGGCGGAATGACCACCCGCGGACCGCTTCGCCGCCTCGCCGACAAAAGGCGCGGCCGTTTGGATGGCGTGCGTAAGGTGGCGATGCTGGGAGTCTCGACCGCGGGCTCGCGCTTGCGCTTCCGCTGCAGCTCTGCCACCAGCCGAACGTTCTTGTCGGCGAGCGCAGAGGCATGGGTCGACGCCGCCATGGCGTGGCGGACGAGGTTCTGGTTCGCCGCCACAAGCTGCGCATTGGCTGCTTCGAGGTCGGCGATGATCGACGTTGCCGATGAGAGTTTGCGCAGGAGCTCGACAATCTGCGACTGCGATGCTGTCCGTGCAAAGGCAAGGACTCGCTCTTGAACAAGCGCACGCGACGGCGGTGCGCGGCACTGATTCGATGTGCTGGAGCCTTGAAGCGCAGGCGACAGGCCGTCGACATCGGCGTCGGCGTCGGTGTCATCAGCGTCGCCTGCGGCCGGCATGGCCGCGGCTGGCAGAAGGCCGATGGTCGGTGAGGCCGACCGCTCGCGTGCGCGCGGCATCGGGCGCTCGTGGCCGCTGACAAGCGGGTGCTCGAGAGCCATGGTAGAAGTGACCTAGTCTAGTGTGGTCCGTAGACTCCTCCAATTGTCCTGGTTGTCGTAGTGGTAGTAAAGGGATCAGCAGCAGCAAGAACAGCGTTCTTCTCCAGTTCAGCAAAACTCACCAATGACGCGATCGGGTCACGAGACGAGCAAGCGGGCTTGTAGACGGGGGTGTTGGAGATAATCGAGCTAGCCACAATATCCATACGAAGCAGCGCAAGTCGTTGGGCCTGAATGGTCTTGAAGCGGGAGCAAGAGTGCGTGGAAGTAAAAGGCGTAGTAGTCAGCGAGTGTCAACGAGAAGACAGTGGCTCGGGACAATCGGATTGACTCTACAGATGGGATCAATGAGACGGGACGATGATCAGATGTTCGTGTCGCTCAATTCGGATTCGAAGCACCGTGTGTGCCTACATTCCAGCACCCACCACCACCATCATCACCACCACCACCCATTCCCAGAGCCACCACACACATGACCAATACCACAATACACACCCCACCCTGCCCTGTGAGTCTCTCACCCTGGTATCCATCCATGCTCCCAAACAAGCTGGTTTGGTCAACCGCTCCCGGCTTCCAAAACGTTCTGATAGCGCGACACGGGCGGCCAATGGGCGGCGGGCAGAGGGAGGGGGGGGGCGCCATGCGGAAGAGTGGTGGGGAAGGGTGATACGTACAGAGAAAACGATTCAAAGTAAAGAAGACGGAAAGAGTGCAAGCAGCAGCAGGAAAGAGTGCAGTGCAGGTGTGTAGCGGGTAGAAGTCTTGGTCTGACGGAGTGTGTTGATCAGATCAGGTGGTTTCACGGGAGTGAGGTATGGGGTGGGGTGGAGGCGTCCATTCGACGGCGAATCGGACGCCGTTTTAAGGCCACTTCCATTCGAACCTTCGATGCGCGTGACCTGGCAGACGTGGTGGAGCATGGCCTCCCGAACAATTTCGAGCGAAAGCCGGTGGAAGAAGAACGGGCCAGCGACGACGATCAAGGGCTTGAAGGTTGATGGGCATGCAGGCGGAGGACATGATATGATTGCTCGCATCACACCGCCAGCTGCTGCCATGAGATCGTCCAGGATCTAGGCCGAGGTTGGCTCGGCGCGGACGCCGCGCAACAGAAGAGAGGACTCGACCACATACGCGCCCACAAACGCAGTACACGACGAACACTCACTGTACACTGCACCTGTCGGCCCCCAGAATGTCCTTGACACCGCTCAATCCCGATCCCGACCAGGCCGATCCCAATCCCGATCCAAACACCAATCCAATCCGATCCAAACACATCTCGGTCCCGATCCCGACCCTGACCCGAATCTCCCAATCCCGTTACCCCCCCCCCCCCCCCCCCCCCCTTTCCCCCTCCCAAATTTTTATCCCCTTTCCATCCCCTCTTCCCCCCATCCCCTTACCCCCCAAAAACAAACCCCCACCCAAACCCCGTTCCAAAAGGGAAAGTTGTTTTCAATTGGCCCACATGTGGATGTTGGGGGCCCCCTTTCTGATCT